AATAAATTTTTACCATCCATCCTTCATGTGATGACTTTTTCACCACATCTCTTGTGTCCCACCGCCGACGGTCGCCTTTCGCGTTTAATGAGGCTTCCACGGCTGTCACCTTGATAAGCAATGGGTGTGAGACGGGTGCTGTTTACGTACTAACGCATATCTTCACTTCTGCACAAACTCTACACAGTTTGTCCCGACAAACAGACGGACGTATGTTCCAAGTGCAGGGGCACTCCAAAACCAGAGCTAAAGACCAGTCTCAGTCGACTCTGACAATTCTGCGCACAGCACAAATACGAAGGTGGTCGCAGGAGGCACGATTTGCCGATCTGTGATGCCAGCTGGAGTTTAAAGGCCCGACCCCACGTATCCGTTTCAGCGCGGCGGCGTGTCTTTTTGACGTGACACAAAGCTCTCGGCCACATGGAGAGAGCGCTTAGCAACACGTCTTTTCTCATAATTGGGAGAGGGCACGACGCCTCGTCAAAAAGCCACGCGCTGTAAGCGATATGTGGGGTCTGGCCTTTATGGCGACGCTGGATCAGACCCAGCGAGCAGCTGTGGCAATTACGGGTCTCTGGAAGAGAGGCCGCAACAGCGGGCCTACTGCTTCGTTTCATTAAAGTTTATTCTCTGTATGACACGAATGATTCACAACTGCGAGATGTTATCAAGACTGCGAACAGGGCCACGAATTTTCGCAAGTCTTAGAGCTTGCCCCTGTGCAAGTGGTAGTGCGATAAAACCACCGAACAAGAGGATACTGCCCTTGATTGATTGATATGTGGGGTTTAACGTCCCAAAACCACTATATGATTATGAGAGACGCCGGATACTGCCCTTGGCCATGCATGTGCTGCAGGGATTATTTACAGTTTAGCCGTTACACTTTCGTCAAATAAAGGGTCAGCGTCTATATAGTGTGCACGTCTCCAGTGTGACTTTACTGGGTATCATTTTATAAACAAGAATTCCATACTTACTAGGGGACAGCCATCTTTGGCCAGGTGCTGCTTGTCAGTTGCAGTGAACTACACTCAAGCCTCGATATAACGAAATATAAGTTATGACGAAGTAAATAGTCTTGTACTAGATATATAGTTAAGAATATACCTTGATAACAAATTTCCAGATATACCAAAGACAAAACTTTGTTATAATTAGGTTTTAATTAACAACACAGTTCGTAGCCCTTTGGCAAGCTTCCCATCAGTGTAGTGCACTGTCAGCTGTGAAATAACCAAATCCGCAATCGTAGGAGTGCGCGGGGTTCCCCAATAGCGGAGGTAGAAGAAACTTTCGTCGCAGCCCACTCCCCCTATTTTCGAGTCGAAAAAAATTTGCAGATCCCATTACAGTAGGAATCGATTATATGCCAATCTAGAATGAGGAAGGTTGATATGCCACTTTAAAATTAGCACAATGTTATGAGGTGAACGTAAATTTAGCCAGTACATGACTTCCATATCATAATTATCATGCTGGGACATGTCACTTACCTTTGTCGTCGATTCCACGTTACGCGATACCAAACTTGGTACATATATGTGGAGCTAGCAAAACGACCGCAAGCGTGCTGTGAGCATAGCATGTGGTCATGTTTTACATGACACAAATGCCACGATTATCATGCTTGGACAAATCATTCATGTTCGTCGTCCATTCACGTAACGTAATATCATATTTGGTATTATGAGGCTAGCAACATTGCTGCGAGCACATCATGAGCATGTTATGTTATCATGTTCTTACATGACAGGCGTGTCATGATTATCATGTTTGCACCTGTCAAATATCTTCGTCATCTACTCACGCCCCGTAACACCGAATTTCGTATATGTGAAGATAGCAAAACCGCCACGAGCTCATCATGAGCGTGGCATGTGGTAGACATGTTGTTACATGACACCCATCTTATGACTACTATGTTTGAACCAGTCATATACGTTCGTCATCCATTTATGTCGCACAATGCCAAATTCAGTATATGCAAAGCTAGCAAAACGACCACAAGCGCACCATGAGCGTGGCGTATAGTCAGGGCTTACATGACATGCATGTCATGATTTAAACATTAGGGTCTGTCACTTGTGTTTGCCATGCAGTCATGTCATACCATACCAGTTTTGCAATATGTCATGTGAACGAAACCACCACAAGAACAACAAGACCATGAAATGTAAATCATGACATTCATGACATGTATCTCATGATTTTCATGTTATGACTAGTGAAATATGTTTTTCATGCAGTCATGTTATGCCATACCAAGTTTGGTATCGATACCATATAGGAAACGGTCCAAGAGAGCTAGAATGTCGCAGGCGGCTGGATAGATAGATAGATAAATAGATAGATAGATAGATAGATAGATACATAGATAAATAGATACGCTCAATTTGCCGAAGTTCACTAAGAAATGCTTTGCACTTGAAAATCCCGCCGCGGTGGTCTCGTGGCTAAAGTACTCGGCTGCTGACCCGCAGGTCGCAGGTCGAATCCCGGCTGCGGCAGCTGCATTTTTGATGGAGGCGAAAATGCTGTAGGCCTGCGTGCTCAGATTTCGGTGCACGTTAAAGAACCCCATGTGGTCGAAATTTCTGGAGCCCTCCACTACGGCGTCTCGCTTAATCAAATAATGGTTTTAGGACAGTAAACTTCACATATCGATAAAAAAATAACAAGCAAAACAAAAAAAACAAGCTTGTCAATGAAGGCAAAAGAAGCGATGGCAGGCTTCTTATAACCACCTGCCTGGGTTCCCTAGCTTTGGAAGATAAATACGGGAAGGATAAATAGGTTTTGTCATAAGCATATAAGTGTTCTCCATTAGAGGGGGGGGTTAGCAAAGTTTCATTGCATCGCCCACCCCTTCTCGCATGCCGATCATCGAGTGCAATAAACAACATATTGGAAGTGACAGGGACAAGTAGCTAGCGCCGGCCGTGTCTCTCCTTGTGTTTTTATTCCTTTTTGCCTTATCCCTTCTCCTAACATATGGCTCGCAACTGACGACAAAATCCAAATGAAGTGATGACGTGCTTCTCGCAGGGGCCTGCCTTTGGTCTCCACTTTTTCTGGAGTACAGATGAGAAGTTAACCGTTTTTGGAATACATTAGAGGCCTTCGGCCACCATTCAGGGGAAGAGGGGGAAAGGGCATTTTTTGCCTTGCCGCTTGCTTCTCCTACAAACTGATGGGTTGAATTTACGAAAGAAGAATCCAAGTCCAAGATTCTCCTGAAAGTGAAATGTAGAAGCTCGTGCGATGGGTAAAATAGGCTGGAATGACTGGAAGCACCTTCACAAATGAGGGAACTGGTGATTGATATGTGGCGTTCAACGTCCCAAAACCACCATAGGATTATGAGAGACGCCCTAGTGGAGGGCTCCAGAAATTTGGACGACCTGATGTTCTTTGATATGCACCCGAATCTGAGCACACAGGCATGCAGCATTTTCGCCTACATCGAAAATGCAGCCGCCGCAGCCAGGATTCGATGCCGCGACCTGCGGGTCAGCAGCCGAGTACCTTAGCCACTAGACCACCGCCGTAGTGTAGGGCTTTGGAAATTCGGACCACCTGGGGTTCTTTAATGTGCAACTAAATCTGAACACACGGGCCAACAGCATTAGCAAATGAGGGAACTAACGGTATACTTTAAGCAAGTGTTGACGTCCAATTTTAAGAGCTTTTTTTTCTTTTGCTGGCCCAATGAGCCGGTATGGAGGCCCTTAGGATCTGCAAAAGGCACCAAACCAAGCGTCCCTGTTCATTTGAGGATTAATTAAGTTCTAAGGTGACAACATATGGGGAGTGTTTTCACAGTAAGAATTTCTCAAATCGGTCCATTATCAAACAAATCAAATGAAATAACACTGCCCATTACCCTGTCTCAAGGAGGCAGGCATGACTGCCGCACTGCAACCCTCCACAGAAAACGAGAGACAGCGCAAACGACAGGAGATACGGCAGACTAAGTGCCGACACAGTGGGCACAATAGCAACGGCGGAGTTAGAAGGATAGGGCATAACTGAACTACAGTGCTTCTTAGGGCTTCTTAACACATGTCCGGAAAATGAAAGCAGCACTAATAGCAGAGGCAGACCAGGAGACACGTAACATGCGATAACCTCTATTGTTGTCAAGATGAATTACGAGGAAGAAAACTTCATGACACTATACTTAGCAACAACTTATTTTGATCCCGGAGTGAAGGCTATTAAAAAATTCGGCAGATCCCACATACGACGGGAATCAATGTTACGTGAAGCATGAAAAGGGAAGGTCACAGCGCTGTATAATCTTCTTATTGAGGGAAATGTTACAAATGTCGTTCAAAATGTGTGCAAATGTTAATTGCACAGAAATATGTTGAACAGTCGCATATGCTTTACATAACCAGTTGTTTACAGTCACGTGTCGACGTCAACAACACGGCTACACCAACACCAGCAGCGGTAACCTGAAATGTAGCAGTTCTGCTTGAAAGGATGATAGCCCTGGCTAGTGCAACGTAGACCAACTTCAGTAGATAGCACACAAGGACAAAATCGACGTTAACCTGAATTGATGCCTGTATCATGGGAGTACATATTTAATATTTATAGAATTAGATAGCCAGCACTGCAAGCACAATTGATGTTACAGCAACGTTACACCTGCATGCTCTCCTTCCAGAGCAGTTTTGAAGTTTGATGTGGCTCTGTGGTAGAATACTTGATTGCCACTCAGAATGCTTGGGTTCAATTCCTACTCGGACCCTAGCATTTATTCTTTGCATTCTTTGCAAAAATCAATAAATGCAGGAGTAACACTGCGAAGTTATACAACTAGAACTGCATAAATGTTTTTTGAATAAACAAGATAGTAATTCAAGAACGCAAACTTTTCAGCATCAAAACAAGGCCACAAAAATCGTACATGTGTGAATGCAAAGGCTCTAATTCGTTAGCAGTACACATTTTCACACAGATTTATGGCTCCTTGTGGCCCTTTTGAAATGCTGAAAAAGCTTTATTCGTGATCGACTGCCCAGTTTGTCCTAAAGCCACCAAGCAGTCCTCACAGACTGTCCAAACACAATACATGGAATTTTCAGGAGACTAAACAACCTCCTAAAAGCACCTGTGGCATATAAGATGGCGTTTTTCCCACTGGCAAAGAAACGAGACAAAGACAGATTATGCTTGGCCCTGGGGGCCCTCCTTTATGTACCCGGCCTGTGGCACCTTTCTTCAATCTGCTCGGCACTGAGATTTTCTGCTGACAGGATGGCGTTGCAGATGCTCAGCGTGGTCTGGAGGGTGGTTCCGTTCACCCATATCCTACCGTTGTGGCCGAGGGCGATCTCGAACTGACATCGCTTGCCGAGCGTCTGAAGCAAGGAGCAGTCCTTTGCCAGGAGCCTGTAAACAATGTTAAAGATTGATTTATTGATATGTGGTATTTAACGCCCCGAAACCACCAAAGGATTATGAGAGACGCCCTAGTGGATGGCTCCAGAAATTTGGACCACCTCGGTTTCTTCAACGTGCACCCGAATCTGAGCACACGGGCCTGCAGGATTTTTGCCTCAATCGAAAATATAACCACCGCAGCCAGGATTCGATGAAGCAGCCTGCGGGTCAGCAGCTGAGTACCTTAGCCACTAGACCACTGCGGCGGGGCAACAATGTTTTAAAGTCGTTTTAGCTAGCTCTTGCGTTATCGTGCAAAAATAGTTATTTTTCATATTTCTCTGGAAGACAGTATCTGCCAGTTTCAAAAGTACTCAAGCATGCATTGTTGCCAACCAAATTTTTTTAAATGAAATGCTTTTTCCAAAAAATATACATTGTAGAGCAGCAGAAATATTTTGAAATGAATAAAAATGTGAAAAGTATGTAATTTTTGGTTGCCAGCTGGTAAACAGTGCAATATAAAACACTATAGAGGCAAAAATATTTAAAACAAAGAATATTTGGAATAGGGTAGTTCCCCGCCAAACGTCCCAGCAATTTCGAAGACCAACTCAAATGTATCAGCAAAAAAAAAAAAAAATCGTGCTAATCTGCTGCATTAAAAACAGTGAATTGCTAAAATATTTCAAAAAGGAAAAATTTTTTGGTCACCACCTTCTGCTTCCAAGAATGTTGTCTGGGTGTTGTTCATGATAAAATCTATTTAAAAAGTACCGCTTCTTCTTTCCATACCAAATTTGGTGTACATGTTAAGTAAAAGTGCCTGTGTCCCGTTTTTGAAACTGAGTAATATCGGCACAATTTTTCTGCCACATACACCTCGAAGAAATTAGCCAAAATGTTTTATGTTTACATTTTTTCTATTGCAATACTGCACTATGTATGAATAACTGAGCAATAGATACTTACTTCACAGAAAGTATATTTCGGAGAAAAAATATCTTCAGGCACCTCAAGTTGCTAAACTTTACAAGAAAAAATCACCAATTTCACAAAATTGTTACTTATGTCCACACTGAAATGCAATCTGCAACATGTGGTGGTTCACCACCACATGTTGCAGCTTTCACCACATGTTGCACCACATGTTCATCAGCTTTATACCTAAATCAAAACCAAAGGAAGAGTCCTTTTTATAAGGCAAGTTCTCGTTTCAAGGAAGAAAATAATTTCTGAGGTTTCCCATTGATGGCTATTGTCTCATTTGGTCACATGACAGCTTCTGCCTTGAAATTCTCTGTTGCCGTCAATGGGAAATTTCAAAATTTACTTTCTTCCTTAAAAGGCCACTCACCAGGCCCCATAACAAATTTTGGTTAGACCGTAGGACGTTGTTGTGTGTCCAATGAAGAGCACTACGCCACACAATTTTTTTCAAATGATTCATTACGAGTTGAGGAAACATTTTTTGAAGCGGCGCGAAACAAGGATGAGAAGAGGTGAGCCCCTTGCCGCTGCTCCGAGTAGCCTTCGCAAGCCAAATCTCTGCCCTACTTTCTCCGGCATTCGACCAAGAGGTCACGTGCGCATGACGTGCCCGAACAAGCCCAACCTCCGAGCACGCAAGCGGTGTTGTGTTTGTAATCTCTGCCCTACCCTCTCCGGCATCCGACCAAGAGGTCACGTGTGCATGACGTGCCCGAACAAGCCTCCGGGCACGCAAGCGGTGTTGTTTTGTTAACCAGCGTTATTTTGTGATCTACTGCCGGTTTCTGCAGGATGGTTTGGAAATGCTGGCTTAGACGCAGTAGAATAGATGAGCACAATGAGCGCGCGAATGCATAGGAGGGTTACTTTCACTTCCACGGCTGGCGTCCGCTCGATGCGCTAAACACAAGGACAGGAACGCGTACCAAACGCCCGCACATTAGCCCTGCATCTCATTGCGATTCACAGGAAAAATTGGAAAAGAAGACGTGCACATTGCGTTATTCCATCTTATTATTTATCTCAAGTTTTATTAATCCTTTCAAAGCAACAAATTACATGAACTACGCATGTCGTGTTCAATATTTTCGCCATGTCACGTGACACTGTTGGCAATGTCAGAGCACAGTCGTCTACATAGAGGACCAATGTCACTGCAGTGCCGTGTACACAGGGCCATTCACACGTGCACATCATGCCCCGATTCTCTGGGCAAGTGCCCATGAGAGGAAGAGGGAGCAGTGTTCATCTTGAAATTTGGCCCATTTCTGCGGCGCGCAGTGTTGCGAATTTTGGCAGACGTGTTCAAGAACGCCCCATCAATGCATTGCACTTGTCAGCTAAAAATTGTCAAACCTGGTGAGTGGCCCTTTAAAACAAAAATTGTAATGATAGAACTTCCCATATAAGAAGACGTGCTGATTTGCTTTCAAATAAAGTGTAAAGCTGATTTTCACCACCACATCGTGCAAATTGCACCGCAATGTGGACAAAAATGACAATTTTGTAAAATTTGTCATTTTTTCTCGCCAAGTTTAGCAACTTGAGGGGGTCTAGAGATATTTTTTACACACAATGTACTTTCTGTGAAGTAAGTATTCATTGCTCAGTTATTCATACAAAGTGCAGTATTGTAATAAAAAATTTAAACATAAAACATTTTGGCTAAATTCTTCGAGGTTTATGTGGTGGAAAAATGCGCTAATATTACTCATCTTCAATACAAGCACTCTTACTCAATATGTAGACCAAATTTGGTAAAAAAAGAAGGAGCGGTGCTTTTAAAATAAATTTTATCACATAAACACCCAGACGACATTCTGGAACATTCGGAAGACACCCACATGAAAAACAATTTTTTTATCCCTGAAATAAACTAGCAATTCACTGTTTTCAATGCAGCAAATCAGCCCGATTTTTTTCGAATACATATGAGAAGGTCGCTAAAATGGCTGGGACGTTTGACGTGGAATGACCCAATATACATTTTGAAAATAAATTACGCAGGGGCAGCATGAAAAATAATAAATGTCAAACAAAAAACCGAGGCGCAGCTTTATTGCTCATGCCATGCGGTGAAGCATTGCTTGGTTTTTCGTGAGAAACAAGCAAACTCGTTGGCCTTTCTCAGTAAATTTTTGTTGGTTAGTGATACGAGCCTGCATGTTGTGGGGATGCTGACACCCCCGTAAAGTTGTTTGCGCCGTGTGGCGCACGTGTGTCGCCCCAAAGCCGCATTTCTGGTAACGACCGCTAGACGATAGGTGGCGTTGTATTCGCGTTGAGCACCACTATCGTCATCATCATCATGGGGCAGCGCCGGCAGTGACCCCTGGCGGAAGTGAGCCTTGGTGGCGGGCGAGAGTTGAGAAAGTCTCTTCTGCGCGTGGCGGTTGCCGCGAACGGTTGTCTCTCGCGGTGAGTCTGCCGTGGACGGCCCCGCAGACCACCTGCGGTAGGCCCACGTGGTGAGTGAAGCGTTGGCGACGCCGCCTTTTGTGTGCTCTTGTGTTATGTTGTTTGAGTGTTTGGTAATTTTGTGTAATGATGAGTTAGCGTGTTGATAACGATTTATGTATCAATTCTGCAGACGATATCGTCTTTTAGAATTAGTTAAATAAATGTGTGTATTCTTTGGTTTGTACCGACCGCCTCTGCTGTGTCCGTTCACTCCAAGAGCGTGGCGTGGCGCTCGCTCTCCGATTCGAGACCCCCACACTGGCGCCCAACGTGGGGCTCTTGGAGTATCAGACAACCTTTTTTGCGGTTTGGTACAATCTTTTTTTTTGAGCCGGGGAAGAGTAGGCCTAGGGGGTGGTAGTGGTTAGAAGATGAGAAAAGGCACCTAATTTCTGCAACCCGGTCGGGAGCACGGCGCTGTGCCTTAGGCCTAGGGGGGCCTTCTCATTGCTAGCGTCGCCGGTGTGCTTTGTTGAGAAGCGAGGAGATTGGGTTTGTGACGTGTTTGAATTTGTCGGCAGGTTGAGTTTTTATTATATTTTTTGCTCCCAAGTGTTATATTTTTTGTTGGTGTTAGTTTTCAAAACCGTCGTTAAATTGGGATGAGAGCCATGCGGTCTGCATCCTGACGTGAGCAAGGCCTACAGCACGTGGTTTGTAGGCCAGGCCCAAAGCAAGTGAGTATGGCAAGGGCGGTCCGATTTTCTGTAAATAGCTTCTTCTATTTCTTTGGGCTCAGGGAGCCGGGCACACGTTGCTGTTTTGTATTGCGGCTCGAGGCCGGGGCATTGTGACACCGCCCGGTGCGGTGGGCAACGATCGCTTGGTAAGCTGCTGTGTGCGGCAAGCGATAGGTCCACCTCAGAAAGTGGATGTCTCCTCGCGGCTGCCTCTTTTGCGCCTAGGCTGGGTGCTGGGTGGATGCCGGTTGTTGTCGAGCGACTCATTAGGCCTAAGGCCCTGCGCAGCCGCCTGTCGCACGGGGCACAATTAGGTGGATCGTGGCGTTGAGGTGTTGCGCTCTGCTTCCCTCACTTTTTTTTATCTTGCGATGCACGAATGAGGAAAAGTGACCTTTATTTTATTTTTGATGGGCGTCTCGGCTGCCGCTGATGTATTAGCTAGCCGTACTGACCATCGTACCACGTGGGCAAAAAGCCCGAAGCTCTCTTTCCTAGGCCCTGCTCCCTTGTTTCGAGTGTTTGGAATATACGCAGCGGGAGTGATGTGATCCATGGCCGGCTGTCTTATGCACATCGTCAGCGCCGCTGGCCAGGAATGCGGTGGTGAGGCCGGGCGATGGAGACGCCTGAGACCTGCGCAACTGCCTGCAGTCCGGCGCCCTCGTGACTGCTGGTCGCAACTGGAAGACGTGTCGGCGCCAGCGACGGTTCGTTGCGCCGACGGCAATGATGTTGCGGGGCCGATACTGAGGTGAAGTCGAGCCGGACAGTGCAGCAGTGTCGATCGGCGGCGGTGTCGTGGTGCAAGGACATTATGGGCATGTGATGTAATTTTTTTGTTAAAGCTTGTGTAGCTAATCTTTTTGTTTTCGGGAT